TATGTGTCAAAGGAAACATTTGAGAGCCTCATGTACAGCCACAGGTAAGGTAGAAGTTCTAAAGCTAATTCTTTCTTGCCTCTTGTTGTTTTACATTCAGAATAGAGTCCCTATTTTTATGCATTGTCCAGAGCTCCTGAAGTAATTAATTTTGTTTCTGAAAAGTTAAGCAAGGAAATGTTCATTGATATACTTCGACACCAACTCATTGGTTTTGGAAAGGAAGCAGAATTGAGTTGTGAACTCCAGAGAATTCGAGGCAGTGGATAAGACCTAGATCTTCTAATTTTTTTTTCCTCCTGCCAAATATTCACTAATTCTTGTTTGCCAGCAAAGTCCACATATTTACATTCAATTCTATTGGAGTTTATCTTCATTTAATACTACTAACATTTTACTTGTAGAAAGAGTTCTTGTTTTCTTTGTTCTATCTTTGCAGGATGCTGGAGTATGGTGAGTACAAAGACCACCTGTATGGCACTAGTGTGGATGCTGTTCAGGCAGTCCTCGATGAAGGGAAGATCTGTGTCATGGACTTAGAGCCTCAGGTGGGTCTGCGGTGGGATAGTTCTCCTCTCTCCAAAGTAATGAAGGCGTGTCATCCATTTTGTGCAAATGCAGTAGGTTATAGTTGAGACATTTCATTCTCTTAGCCTTTTAGGAATAAGACCACTTATATCTAAGGGCCAGGATTTTACTTGAAGTGGAATTGCCAACATCTTGTTTTCAGTTGGGAAAGAAGTCTTGCTTTTCTGACATAAACACAGAACAGACTAGGTGGCCCTAAAGAAATGTTAGAATCTTGCTTTGACCTTAATCACAGTGGCATCAAGGTAACTTCTTGTGGAGGGAATAAAATGTTGCTTTACACAAGGAGGTGAGGTTCCTGTGTGGTCATATCTGTGTCTGCTTCCCTGAGAACATATCTGGAATGGAGCAGGGAAGAGCAGGTTAAGGTAAGATAAAGAACATACAGTTTGTAGACCCAGTCTTTATGATCCTTGTATTTTTTCTTTGTGTTTTTCTTAGTCATTTAAAAATGTATAAGTGCTTTGTGTGCAAAAGAGAATCCAAGAAAAAGAAATTTGTTCTTACTTGGGTCAAAGCTGGTGGTCAGTGTGAAGATGGCAGTAGTATGCAATGTGAGCTTATAGCAAGAGGAAAGGGAAATGAGAGTGAAACAGAGCTGATCCATCTTGAGAGTCTGTCTTTGTCACATGAGATCATGTACAGGATCCTACTCTCAGTGAGTGAGATTCTCTCATGTATCGAATCTTACTCGGCTAGTAAGTTTTCAATAGCTCGTCATAGCTAATGAGAGGAAGAGCCAGGATTTGAACTTAGTTTTGCCTCTAGAACCCCACCTCTTAATAATAATAATAACTTATTATTATTATTATTTTTAGAATTGAACATTTGGAGGCACATGAGACTATATTCTGGCTAAAAGTAATTGCTAATTTCTGGTCTTAGAAATTTTGAGAACATTCATGTTGCCTCCAGGAAGGTAGGACTTCTGTTTTTAAAATGAGCACTTAATTTTTCTATGTAGGGTATTCAAGTGGCACGAACTCGTGAACTGAAGCCTTATGTCATATTTATAAAGCCATCTAACATGAGTTGTATGAAACAATCTCGGAAAAATGCCAAGATCATTACTGACTACTTTGTGGACATGAAGTTCAAGGTAAGAACACGTCAAAAATGGACATATTGCTCTTGGTGACTGTGTGGCTGAGGGGATCTGGGTCCAGCCAGGTAGAGAACCTCAGATCTCATTGTTCCCTTCCTCTCCAACCCCCTCCCCAGAAGCCCCTCAATAAAATGGTTTGATCCCAAAACATATAAATCATTGTATTGTTTCCACAGGATCCCTATATTGAAGAATGCGATTTTTGTTTCTAGTAAATTTATCCTTTGATAAATTCAGTTATTTACTCTTATGATAAATTAAACAAATTTTAATAAATTTTAATAAATTCTATGATGCTACCCTTATTTTTTCTTTCTTATTTTTTTGGGTCTAGCTTTGAAAAAACCCTCCAAGCCACAGGTTGTAAAGCCACACAGAGACTGGATGTGTCTAAGCCTGATATTTGTATTTTAAACATAATATTTATTTTTACTTGAAAGTTTACTTTAAAAATGTTGTAGTGAGTATATCTCATCTTTAATATGAGGTATCTCACAAAAACTGTTTATCGATGATGATGGCAATAATAAGGGGGCAAGCCAGGTGGGGTTAATCAGTGAACTCATCCTAGAATAGATGATTTTTTTCCCAGTTATATATATTTTATATTTTTTCTACTATAAATATTTTGAGTCATAACATATATTTAGTAAGGCATATAGATCTTAAGTGTACAGCTCACTGAATTTTTACATGTGTATGTAAAATAGTCACTTATTTTGTGTGTGATAAAATAGTCACTTATTTTGTGTGTGATAAAAAACACATAATATAAAACTTACCATCCTACTTTTGTGTTCAGTTTAGTAGTGTTAAGTATATTCACATTGTTGTGAAACAGATCTCCAGAATTTTTTCACCTTGCATAACTGAAACTAAAAATATAAACACTTCACAAATTTACATGTCATCATTGCACAGGAGCCATGCGAATAATCTCTGTATCATTCCAATTTTAGTATATGTGCTGCTGAAGCAAGCACAAGCTATCTTTATATTATCTCTTATTATTTTTATCTTCATATTATTTCAGTGACTATGAAAGTTACACTGAAGCGAATATGATTTTCCAGTTTGTCTTTTGGACAGTGGAGTTCATAGATGTACTCTCTGAGTCTTATTGGCATTTAAAATTGTGTTCTCATTTTTATGGCAGTCTAAACAAATTAACAAAATTGTTTCTGGATCATGTGTGTGGTCACCTTGTGACAGAATTCTGCCAAAAGATTTCAATGCTCATATTTATAATTATGTTTAAGACTGCATTAACAAGTTGAACTATTTTGTCAGAAACAAGAAATATCAGCAATAAATTTAATGCATTAGTGCCAAGTGAAGGCCAAATGACCTTCACTGAATGAACATTTCGCAATAGTAGGAACAGACAATATTATATGTGAATTAAGTCATCATGAAGCAAAGGTTAATTTAGGCATGCCTGAAATTAACCTCCTGTTGAAAGTGACCATTTTGTATCTGCAAAATAATGTCATTTTTATCAGATTAATGTTCAATTGAAATTTATGTTTAAGTTTTAATTAAACTGGCAAATTTTCTTTGGTTTTATGTTGCATATAGTTTGAGAGTTTCAAGTGTTCAGATAATAGATTGATTTAAGTCCACACGGGAAGTTGAGGGTAGCAATCTGTCTACAAACTATTACTAAACTTTGTAAAACATTGACCAGAGAGACATTAAATAAGAATAAAGATTGAAATTTAAGTTTTATAGTTGAGGATAGAGAACATTTATTTGACCTAATTGTTTTTATAAATAGCTTTACAACTGAATGGACAGCATAACAAACTGTGTATTATTTCTATTTGTCTCATTCAGTCTGTGCTATCCATATTTTTCTATTTCTCCCAAAGGATGAAGACCTACAAGAGATGGAAGATTTAGCCCAAAAAATGGAGACTCAGTTTGGCCAGTTTTTTGATCACGTGATTGTGAATGGTAACTTGCAAGATGCATGTGCCCAGTTGTTGTCTGCCATACAGAAGGCTCAGGAGGAGCCTCAGTGGGTCCCAGCAACTTGGATTTCTTCTGATACTGATTCTTAATGAGGCCTCCTGCTTAATACTGCAGTTTTGACGCTGTACTCTTGTTATAGAGATCTGGAATAATAGCTGCAATCTAAAACAGTACTGCTTAACCCATTATAATGTGTGCAATTTTAAAAGTGCTGCAGTTTATTAATCTTATTTGAAAAAAATCGTATGGTATGGTTATGTAGAGTTACCTATTCGGCTCTTAGGAAAACATTTTTCCCTTTACCTCATACACAGCAGTAGTAGCAATATGAGTAATGTTAAGTCATTGAGTATGAGAACCTTTCATAGATTTCATATGGTCATTGTAAAATTCAGATAAAAAAAGTTTTCCTAAATAAAATAAGCAGTATTTAATTTCGGAAACTGTATTTTACTTTACGAAACTTGTTTTATGAAAATGTCTTTTACAAAAAAATGCCTACTTGACTAACTCAGCAAAAAGGGTTAATATGCATATTTCACACATCTAACATCAAAACCTACAGAAACTGTACTGCCCTCGTCAATTAAAAATCAGGCTACAAGGAAAAAATTACCTTCTGATCAGAGCTGTAACAATAATTAATTTTCCTAATAGCTAATATCCATATGCATGCCTAACCTAGAGTCCTAAATACGAGAAAACCACAAGTCTTGTTTTTTTCTTTCTTCCCCCAGAGCTGAGACTTAGTCTCTGTGCCTGTTCATCTTCTGCATCATTTTCTAACTTTCTTCATATCCACACCATCCCTCTATCCCTCCCATCTTTCTTAACTATAAGAGTGCATGATACAAAATATATGTAGTTCTTTTTTAAAGTGAACACGTTATCTTTCTTAAACACACACACACACACACACACAACATGAAGAAAATTAAGTCATCTTTAATGATACTCATGTGAGCTCGGATTTGATTTTATGTTGTGGTTCTCTGAGAAAAAGATTTCTGAAACTTGATTTACACGGTTGTGGGACGCAGGGTAAGCAACTGGAGAAAATGTGAGAACGGCCTGTACGAATATACATCCACACGCCCAGGCCCGCACGGAATCGGGTGGGGGGGGGGGCCGGGGGGTAAACGCATCGGTCCCTAACCCGGCCACCTTGGAGCGCGGGGCCTGGCCGAGCGGAAGTGGGCGGGATCTTGCCGGGGGCGGTGGCCTCTCCCAGCGCCACGAAGGACCCCCTCCCGCGGGTCCCGGAGGCCGCGGCGTAGCGGGGAGCCAGCCTCGGCCCACGGCGGTTGCTCCGGGGGAGCCCCGCGGGGAGAGCACCATGAGAGCCGACTCCGGGACTCGGCTGGAGGAGGGCCCCCCGGTGAGCAGTGAGGGGTGCGTTGGCCACGACGCGTGGCGGGTCGGGGGTGCCCTAAAGCACATCTACCCCTGGGGCGGGGCCGACGCCGGCTGCGCGCATCCGCCCCTTGAGCGTTCGTAGGATTGGACTGGGGCAGGGGCGAGGCCAGACCCGAACTCCCGGAGCCGGGGAGGTGCCAGGCACGAAGTTTTTCGGTGCTGGACCCCGCGTTGCCACGACTACGCCTCACTTCGCCGCTACCCGGGCTGGCGGGCTCCGCTGCTGCCTACGACGACCCTCCTACAGACCCCGCCCGCAGGAGAGGGCTTTTAACCGCCTCCAGAAAAACGGTCGCAATTTCCCTCGGAGACTTTTTTTTTTTTTTGTCTTTTTGTCTTTTTTCGTGACCGGCAACGGATCGCACCCTCAGTGTCGCGCCCATACCGACCTGGGCGGCAACGGGATCGCAACCCTCGGTGTTGCATCCGCCCCTTGCTCAGCCAGTGAGCAGCCGGTCTGTATGTGGGATCCGAACCCTCGGAGGCAGCGTAGCCACGCTCTCAAGCGGCGCACTGTAGCAGTGCCCACCGGGCCGGCCCCCTCGGAGACTTTTAATGCAGGTCTCCTCTCATGCGTCCAAACAAATCACCGCAACCACTAAGGACACCATAAGTGACCGTAACTGCAGCCCCCTGGGCACGGCAGCCCCGCCTCCGAGGCCCCTTTTTCTGCGCGGCTAGACTAGAGGTCAGGCCCGGTCCGCGCGCCCCTCCCCCAGCACCCCCCGGGGGCCTGCCGGCCACAGCGGCCTGGGCGGCGCAGCCCGATGACGCCTGCGCCTGCGCGCGCGGCCCGCCGGGCGGGGTTGGCGCCCTGAGCCTGGCGCCGGCTGCCGCCCGCTTTAGAAAGAATGGGGAAGAAGCAGGTGGTAAGCGAGCCTTAGTTACTTTTGAGCTAATTGGATGTTTGCCTGCAGTTGCGTCGTCCTACTTTTGAAGGCTCAGAGGTTGGGTTTCTGGGTGGGTGAAACGTCATTTTTGCGGGACTTTTGAAATGGGGAGTTCTGTGGTCTGGGTCCTTGGCTAGAACACGCTTTATAGCATGTTTAGAAGAGCGCTTTCATGTGACTGTTATTCTTTTCCAGCTGTGATTTTGACTACTGACTAGTACTGAGACAGCCTGCCCCGTCCTAATCTTGTATGTAGCATATGTATTAATCGACTGTTTGAACGAATGGATTGCTAACTGGGACAGACTACAAGAGTGTCTAAAGTTTAACCCTTTTAAATCAATATCGTCTGCAAGCAGCATGAGATACTTGGAACATTAAATTGACTTCCAGGCATTTCTGTTAGGTTTTTATTATGAAAAATTCCAGAATGCTTCTTAACTGTAATGCTCTCTGAACTGCAAACACGACCTTTCTTATTCATGTAAAGCAACTTGAATAAGGGGTTTTTTCCCCCCTTCCATTCCTTCTCCCCTAAAATCCGTTCTTCACACTGTATGTTTTTAAAAAGTACGTTACTGTGTGCCTTAAAACCCGCATTAGCTTCCCATTGAATTAAAACAAAATCCAGACTCCTTCCCGTTGTCTGCAAATCCCTAATTAATCTGGCTTCTGCCCACCTCTCCTGTGCTGCAGTCCTCCTTTTATCTGGAACACTCCAAGCCCAGCCTCCGCTAAAAGGCTTCGCATTTACTCCTCATTGCCTGAAATGTTGGCTCCTTTCTCATTCAGGTCTCAAGTCTCAGCTCAAATATCTTCATTTTCCCTCATTCATTATATATATGTGTGTGTGTGTATAGTATTAATACATATTTATCATGTTACATATTTTATATAATCATATTTTTTTATCATACATATATTTAACATGATCTTCTAATACATAACCACTAGAATGTACGTTCCATGAAAGCAGGGATCTCTCTGTTTTGTTCTTTAGTATATCCCTAACGCTTAGAACCTGTAGATAGAAAGGAAGGAATTTTAAATGAAATTTAGAAATGGTAGGACAAATTTAAAATCTCCCATCCGATGTCATAGGTACCTCCCAGGTTTCACAGATGAACAGGGTTATCAAAAGATCTGAAGTTACTAGTCTGATTTATTATATTTTTTTGTCATGTCTAAACTACAGGATTTTAAAAGAATAGCTTTGTGGTATCTGAGATACATGAAGTAAAGATGCTCTAGGCTTTCACTTACAAGCAGTTTTCTTTTTTACCTCCCCAGCGTCCTCCACGAGCCCTTCCACCTGTGCCAAGGTAAAAATAAGTTATAGTAATTTCATTATTGAGATTTAAAAATGCAAAATTAATAAAGTGGAAAAATTGACTAGTACCATTTCAAGATTATAATGACTTACAGAAGACTTCCTGAAAGTTTTAGGAAAATGCTTCCTAAAAGTTTATAGGTGAAAAATCCTTGAATTATGAGGATAACAGTTATAAATAAATGTTCTATTTAAAAGGCTGAATGTCAACATGGTAGGATAATGGACCCGTTCTGAATGTTTGTGTCCTGTTTATCAGAATCCTGATCCTCTTTTGTTAGCTAGAATAGTTTCCCCAGAGTTTAAGCCGATTGTAATCAGTGACAAATAAGAGTTCTTAATATGCTTAATTATTAATAGACAGTAGGTAATATGTGTATGTGGGTTTGGAAAATATTTGGCTTATTTTAGTAGCAGTGTTATTAAACTGTTTATTACTTATAAATAATAAGCTAGTTTGTAAAGTAACTGACATTGTGTAAAAGTTAATTTTATTTTAAATTTGCAATAATTTAAGTTAATTTTCATTCTAACAATATAATAGATTTCTAACTAATAGTATCATTTTTGTCTTTGTTCCGATGATTAAATTTGGTTGGTGTCATGTGAAGTGCTATTCAAGGTGAGTGAGTTTACTGTTAATATAAAATTTTCTAACTATAGTATTTGGTGTTCAAAAATTAGTTTCGTTCCTTAGTTTATTTCTCTTAAAATTGAATCTGAATGGTATAATTTATAATATGCAATATCTTTTTGTCATAATAATCTTTTATGACTGCCATTTTTAAATTATGGTTGATAGATAATGCTAGATGACCTTAATGTTATTAAAACACTTCATCCCTGACTGGAGTCATCCAGAACATAACTGTTGGCTAGTTTATAGCTCTGTAATAGGGACTGCACCTTCCTTTGCCTCATTTAGTCAGGATAGGCAAGATTATGCTACACTCCTCTCAGTGACTTGATATAACACAAGGTTATTTCTAATTAATGCAAAGTCCACTGTGGTGACAATCTAATGCCATTGCCTTTCACTACCTCTTCACTATTGATGTAGTGATCCAGGCTGCTTCTGTCCTGTGGTTCTGCCATCTTATGGTTCTTCCTCAGTTGCCACAGCAAGGGAAGAGAAAGCTGGAAGTTTACTCACTGGCTCTTTCAATGACACAGATCACTTCTGCTCACAGTCTATTGGCCAGAACCAGTCAAAGGCTACACCTAAGTACAAGGTAGTTGGGAAATGTAGGGGATCAGATGAATATTTGTTGAGCCCTCTTTCTATGCTCAGTTTCTAATGTTACTGACCAGCAGTGTGCTACTGGCACCACACTATAGGCTCTCTCTGACTTTGTCAATTTCTTGTCTTCTTCCCCAATGTGTAGAAGTTGGGTGCACCCAGAGAAGAGAGGGAAAAGTCTTCACTGCTAAAAGTTCCCTTCTGATTGTTGAATTTTAGGCAGGCTTTTCTGTTGATGTTCTTTCTATTTTATAGATGATGTTCCACTTAGTCGTCCTAAGAAAAAGAAGCCCAGAACAAAAAACACACTAGGTAAGAAGTTCTTTGTGGTGTGGGATCATAGGTTTTACCAGGATCTCAGGTGTGATAAACATCACAGATCAGGGAGAGGCAAGGCCTCAGCATCCCCAAGTCACTGGTGTGTTGAGGGTAGAATTAAGGCCAGCCTGAAGCAGTGGTGGTAGGGACAGGGCATTGGGCAGCCTGGGGCATGTCTAGTAGCTTTCATGTAATAAAGGGTTGTGCCACTTAAGCTCTTACTTCCTCAATGCTCTTAGTCTTTGAGGTCTTTTATCCCTAGATAACATAAATTGTTTTAAGATATGATTGGCTCCATAGCCTTGACCAAGATTCTGGATTTAGAGATACAGAGTTCTCACATCCCTTATTTCAGTTAGAGATTCTCTACATTGGGGAATGAATCTGAAGTCAGGGCCATATCACCCATGAACTAAAGCTCCAATAATGAGCAGATTCTATGAACTCCTTTTTGTCCTAGTGATCTACTAATAATCCTGGATGTTGCATCCGTAACTCAAACTCAGCACATTCAAAATCCATCATCACCTTCACCAATAAATCAACTTTTACTTCTCACTCAATTTTCTGTTAATGGAACCCACCATTTTCCCAGCACTCAGACTTGAAACCTCAAAGTCACCTTTAAGTGATCCTTTAATTTCACTCTTTACTTGAGACTTCTCATAAGCCTAAATGGTTTGTGTGGTTGTTGCTGTTTTTTTAATATATAAAAGGTATCATATTCTTTTTTTTTTGTCCTTTTGAGACTGGCCGCACGGCGCTCAGCCAGTGAGCGCTGTGAGCGAACCGGTCATCTCTATATAGGATCCGAACCCGCGGCGGGAGCGCTGCTGCACTCCCAGCACCGCACTCTCTCGAGTGCGCCATGGGCTCGGCCCCAAAAGGTATCATATTCTATATGTAGTGTATTTGCTCGTTAATACATAGATTCCTATGTGTTTTTAAACAGTGTCTTCTTAGTATTACATCATAAGAATGTGCCATAATCATTGGTCTGTTGTTCATTTAGGTTATATCAAATTTTTCACTGCAGGCAATTTTGTAGTTCTTCTACATAAAGTAGTGGGTGGTAGGGAAGAAGAGGTATTTCTTTAGGATGGACTGCTAGCAGTGGAATTGCTAGATAAAGGACACATGCATTATTGATATAATAGATTCTGCTAAATTGTTTTCAAGGAGTCTTTAGTTATTTTCTTGCCACCAATAGAATTTGAGAATGTCACATTCTCCTTAACAACACTGGACAATATCAATCTTTTAAATTTTTGTGTTAATTTAGTAGCCAAAATGCAGCTTATTTTAGTTTGTATTTCTCTAAATACTAGTGAGGTTAAGTATCTTTTCATTTGTTTATTAAAACATTTTTATTTCTGGGCCGGCCCGTGGCTCACTCGGGAGAGTACGGTGCTGATAACACCAAGGCCCCGGGTTCGGATCCCATATAGGGATGGCCAGTTCGCTCACTGGCTGAGCGTGGTGCTGACAACACCAAGTCAAGGGTTGAGATCCCCTTACCGGTCATCTTTTAAAAAACAAACAAACAAACAAAAAAACATTTTTATTTCTTTTGTGAAGAAGACAGGGAAGGGAATGCAGTGAAGTAAAACTTAAATCTGCCAAAATGTGTTGAAATTCTGTAAAAAGATTTAATGAGAGGAGAGGTTGAAATGAATGACCAAATGAAGAGATGTATAAATTATTTATTAACTCCATGTATTCTTAATGACTTTATCATGTGTTAATTTATTAATGAAAGACAAAATAGAGGCTGATAAAAATTCTTAAGGCAGGAGACAAGTAGAGATAGTTTTTTTTTTTGGTGTCAGTGTTTATATTTTCATCTTTCTGAAAGTTCTGAATGTTCTGACGCAGTTTCTCCTCCTCCCCTTCTTTTGCTCTTCTTTCTAGCTTCCAACCCCCCACTCGCCTGCTGCCTTCTTTTCTTCCTCAGCCTTTCTTATTCTCAACTATTTCTTTTCTCAGTCCAAACTTACAGGTTAGGAGGGAAGAAATCAAGATTTGGGGCACAGTATAGGAAACATTCTAGTTACTTTTTTCCCCATCCTTTTAAGACTCAGTGATCTCTGTTCCAATTTTTTCTACTCTGTTTTTCTGTAGCCAGTGCTTCTTTGGAAGGCCTTGCTCAGACTGCTGTTCGTAGGCCATCTGAGAGCAGTGAGCCACCTACTAAAGAGCTTGAAGAGCATCCAGAGGCTCCTGTTCAAAGGAGACAGAAGAAGATGAGGCCACCTATTGGTGTGTGAAAAAACCAGTTAGGTTGTGATAACAGCTATGATTTTGGAGGGTATGATAAAAACCTGTCTGTTCCCATTCTTTCTCCATCCATATCCCATAGGTAGTTTTTTTTGCTTTCTTCCTTAAAATATTTGCCACTAGAGTGATTCCAATGGCTTAAATCAAAAACACTTTACAGGTTTCTTTTGATTATATATGTAAAGAATATGAGAGGAGGGGAACAAATTGAGGACTAAAACAGAAAGTTCAGATCTCAGTGTATATAAGTATTTAGTAAATGATGAAATGGACATTTTAGATTAGTGGGGGAAAGATAGATTCTGTGTTAATAATGATATAATAAAACAACAGCCAGCATTTATTTATTGAGTTTTTCTATGTCCCATGTGCTTTTCACAAGGTAAACAGAATACTATACCATTTTTTTGGCCTATCAAATTGGCAATGCTTTTTTCAAATTATAAAATCTAGAGTTGATGTGAAATTGGTACACTGTTGAACTGCTGTTAGGACCGTAGATTGATACAGTCTGTCCAGATTTCTATGAATAGAAGTAATTACAACAGCAACAGTAATTAAAGGATGTTAACTGCAACATTGTTTATAAGAGTAGAAATTGGTAATAACCCAAATATCTAACAGTGTGATACTGGCTAAATAAACCATGTCTTATCCAGTAAGTGGAAACCAAATATCCATTAAAAGGATTGTTCAAGTGAAATAGTAACATGGAAAACCATTAGCAATGTATTGTTAAATCAAAAACAAAGGTTATAAAATAGTATGTATTGGAGAGCCCATTTTTGTAAAATACATTGTATTAATTTCCTAGGGCTGCCATAAAAAATTACCACAAACTGGGTGAATTAAAACAACGGAAATTGATTCTCTCATAGTTCTGGAGGATAGAATTCCAAAATCCCGCTGTCTGCAGGGACATACTCCAAAGGCTTTAGGGAAGAATTCTTTCCTTGCCTTTTCTGGCTTCTGGTGGTTGTTGACAGTCCTTGGTGTTCTTTGGCTTGTGGTAACATAACACCAATCTTTGTCTCTTCCTTCACATTTTTCCCTGTGTTTCTATGTCCAAATTTCCCTATTCTTGCAAGAGTACCAATCAATGGATTTAGTGCCTGTCCTAATCCAGTATAACCTCATTTTAACTTGATTACATCTGAAAAGACCCTCTTTCCAAATAAGGTTACATTCACAAGCACTGGGAGTTAGGACTTGAATGAAGCTTATTTGGGGGGCACAATTCAACCCAGAACATAAATACATACATACATATTCACAATAGAAAAAATGGAAGGATATAGCAGTGTTCACAGGTAGGTTTTTTAGAAGAAGGAAGGAAGGGTGATTTTTATTTTTTCTTTTATTTATATTTTAGTGATTTTTCATGTATTGAGCATGTATGACTTTTATACATGAATTTGTAATTATAATTAGAAAAAAGGGTTTTGTCAGAGTAAAACAAGTGAAAGGAGCAGAGATTGTGAGATTAGGTCACTCCTATTGACATCAGCTCCTGAGAATAATTTGTTACAAATTAGTTTCCCTGACTAATTACTTGTCCTCATAGAAAAAGCAAGTCATGATTGGTTGGAAAAATCATACAAATAGAGGGAAAGGAACTAGAAAAGTCAGGAAAATGAACATATTTATGAGAGGTAAGTTGAAGTGGGATACCACAGTGCCTGAGGGTAAGGAGTATCTATGAGGAGGAGAAGGAGAGTGCAGAAGAGGGCAGAAGGAAAAAACATGATTCTCAGACAAGCTTTATCCCAATGAAATGATTTATTTCATCACCGGTACTAAATATAGTTTAATTAAAACTACCCTTTCAATAATTCAGTTAAGGTACAAATTCGAAAATCAAGATGCATACCAATATCTAGTTTGATAATTTGTGAAAAATATCTTTACAGAAATGACTTCAGCAGTTTTAGAAAACTTAGGACCCAACTAAGTTTTGGGCCAAAGAGGACCTGTTACTGCCATTCCAAAATGCACTCAGTTTTGCAGGTCCAGCTTTCTAAATTTCTGGATTTTTAAATTTTGTATGATTTTTGTTTCGTTTTTCTCAGAGTGGCCATGGTAGGCTCTACTACTTGTATTGCATTTCTAGCCCAGGCTGTAGGTATTTTATTAAAATAGAATTCTAGTGGCTTGAGAACATTCCGGGGAGCCAGTATTTCCAGGTAGGAAGAGTAGCTGCCAGGCTAGAGGGTTCCATTGACTCATTTAAGCTTAATATCTACCCTATGTACAGAAAAAAGTTAACATAGCAGGCCTAAGACTGCTATCCTTAGAAAGGCCTGCTTGCAAGGTTGGCCCTTAATTGGCATCTGGGAACTTCGAGAGTAAACAGTGCCATACACTGATATAAAACTTTCCCTAAATTATAAGGGTGGCTCACTGTGCATTTGTGTACACAATATGATTTATGCTGAACATCTGCTTCCCTTCTGGGAATCTGGAATTTTGCTACGTGCTAGGCCTGTGTGACTAGCCTGCAGTAAAAACCTTGGGCACTGAGTCTCTAATGAGCTTCCCTAGTTGAGACTGCATCACATGTATTGTCACAACTCCCTGCTGGAGGAATTAGTTCATCCTGTGTGACTCCACTGATTGAGGACTCTTGGAAGTTCGTACCTGGTTTCCTTTGGACATTGCTGCAGGCACTTTTTCCTTTTGCTGATTTTGCTCTATCTCTTTTTGCTAATAAACTATAATTGTGTGTAATCACTTCTGAATCCTTCTAGCAAATCACCAAATCTGGAGGTAATCTTGGGGGTCTCCAACACACTCTGGGTGTTGGTTTACTTAATTTTTTCCATAGTTTGGCATTGCCATCTCAAATTTTATGTTGAAAATTTAGAGGTGTAAAATTTTAAAAATTAAAAATTCATAAGATAGTGAAAAAAACTTTGGGCCAATTAAAATTCTTAAAGTTCTCTTGTCTTATAAAAATCTTGTGTATTACTTTTTGTTTCACCTTACAGTCATTTGAAAACTTAATTTGTTTTTATTTTCAGAATTGGAGACTTCCTTCACCCAAAAGAAAACATCTGGTTCATCTTTATTACAAGACGAAAATAATATTGATGGGGAGCCAGCTGAGGAGGCAGTTATTCAGAAACCTCGAAGGAAGACAAAGTAAGAATCATTTATTCTTCTAAATATTCTCTGTGGTTACTCTGATGCTTAATTCAGAGCTCCCAAATGGTAGCTTCTCATTGAGTCTTATTATATATTTGTGTCTGTTTATGTCTAGGATATGTAGTAATACAAAATCAGTTAAATCAATCTAATGGTAAATTTGAAAAGAGTGAACCACTGAGAAAAGTATTAGTAGTGTACTTAAATGAAAAATCTTAGGAGCCATCTCTGAAAAAGAAGAACACAAATAGAAGATTTTATATAAGTAGCAAAAAAATTAGATATTAAGGATATTGAAAATTAGCGACACTAAAATAGGCTATTGTGATTTATTTTCTCATGTTAACAGAACTCAAATTATGACTATTTTAGGAATAATTAAAACCATGTATTTTAGCATAGGAAATTAAGTCTCGGATAAAATAAAATGGCACACTTTGAAGAAATACACTGGAAGTTATATAACACTATTGTTTGTATTTAGAAATGACCCTACGTATAGTGATCATGTCTATATAGAACTGTATGATTTTAAGACTGGAAAGATCTTACAGTCACTTCATTTTCCAGATGAGAAAACTGAGGTCCACAGAAATATAGGTGACTTGCTGCATGTAGCAGTTAATAACAGATCCATTTGAGTAAAAAAAAACTTTCTTGATTCCAAGGCCAGGGCTCTTTCCATTATATTCATAGGTAATTCCTTATGTAGGTTTGCAAAAATTCAATAATTATCCATTTTTCTTACATTCTCCCTGATTACAGGAAAACCCAGCCAGCAGAATTACAGTATGCCAATGAGCTAGGAGTAGAAGATGAAGATATAATTACTGATGAGCAAAATAGTCCAGAACAACAGTCTATATTCACTGCGCCCACTGGTGTTAGCCAGCCTGTAGGCAAAGTTTTTGTGGAAAAAAGCCGTAAGTAGTTCCTTATTCTGGAACATGAGCTTTTAAAAAATTACACAGGATATCCTTTGATCTGGTAATTATACTTCTGGAAATCTGAATTAAAGAAATAAGCAAAAATATGGACAAAAATTTATACACAAAGCTAATTATCACACTATTATTCATGAGAGTGAAAACCTGGAAATAACCTGAATATAAAACAGGAGAGGAATGATTTCAGTAAGTTATGGTTATCTATATAATAAAATATTCTGCACCATTAAACATAATGTTTACGGAAAATTTTTTATTTCATGAAAAAATTCTAAGGAAAAATGAGCATACACACACACATAGTTTGATCTCAACTATAGAAAAATGCATAGGACAAAAGCCTAGAAGGAAATGTGCCAAAGTATTAATGCAAAGCTGGTTGTTTCTGGGTAATAGGATTATGAGTAATTTTTTAATCTCCTCCCACCCTAGCCTGTTTCTTTATACTTCTTTGTGCTTTACCAATTCTGCAATTGGTAGTGGTTGTGATGGTTGGGCAGATAATCATATAAATTTTACAGATAAAATGAAAAAGAATACATGTGATACTATCATATTAAATAAGAAATACAACATTATAGCTATATATTCTTTTGGGAAATAGTTCTGACATTGTATCACATGTACTGGTTATAAGACTGGGTTTGCAGTGTATCTTAGTTCGGGCTACTATAACAAAATACTATAGACTGGGTGGCTGAAACAATAAACATTTATTTCTCAAAGTTCTGGAAGCTGGGAAGTCCAAGATAACGTGCTGGAAGATTTCATTCTTTGTGAGGGCCTCTTCCTGGCTTGCAGATGGCTGCCTTCTTGCTGTGTCCACACATGGCAGAGAGAGAGCTCTAGTGTCTCTTCCTCTTCTTAAAAGGACACTAATCTTGACTGTGATCACCACAAAGAAAAGATAAATGTTTAGGTGATGGATATACTATCTACCTTGAGTGAATCATTGAACAATATATGCATTGAAACAACACACTGTACCCCACAAATACATACAATAAAAAGAAAGGACACTAATCCCATTATGGAATCCTTACTCTTGTGACATCATCTAAACCTAATTACCTTCCAATAGCTCCGCCTGCAAATACCATCACATTGAGGATTAGGGCTCTAATATACAAATTTTGGGGGGGTAGGGGGACACATTCAGTCCATAACACAGTGTTTAGGAAAAAACTACCCAAAGCGTGATCATGATCATATACAATTCCCATGGATATGCTATGGATATATTGCCTAAAGAACTCACCTGAAACATAAATGTTAGTACTTAAAATTTACAATTTAGATTTCATGTAAATTGTTTTAGAATTCTGATTCCATAAGATCCCATCTAAATGATCTTGGAGTACTTGACTAATGAGAAATCTGTGGTCTAGAGAAGCTAACTGACATACCTAGCCGTCTTACAGTTGGTAAGTGTAGAAATGGGACTTGAACCCGGGTTTCATGACTTCTAGTCAAGTACCTTTACTAGTACACCATGTGGCATTTAATTTACTTCAGTGTATTTTCAAGCAATATCATTCAGTCCTCATTTTTATTCTTACTTCCCTTAGCACAGAAATTTCCCTGTTATAGTAACTGACCATGAAAGGCAACAGTGGTCTGCCCAGAAGTTGTCTTTTCCTAGGGAAAATTAAGTGTTGCAGCACTCTTTCATCCTCCAAAATACCTGAGAGTTGAGTTTGGTGAGGGGAATTGAAAGAGAACCTTTGCTGCTTCGTGAGGTCCATTTGTGGATTGGTAGATATAGGAGAAGGAGCCTCCTGGTGAGTAGTAAAAAGGATAAAGCCCTGCTCACACAACGTTGCAGTGCTGATACTTGTACTGATACTTTTTACAGGATTCTAATTTTTTTTTTTTTTGGTGGCTCGCCTGTACAGGAATCTGAATCCTTGAACTTTGTGTTATCAACACCACTTTCTCCCAAGTGAGCTGACTGGCCAGCCCCACAGGGATCTTAAAAGAAGTTTATGGGGCCGACCCCGTGGCTCACTCGGGAGAGTTTAAATGCCTAGTATAGTATAATACTTCTAGAGTCTTTAAATTAGAATTTTACAGACTATGTCATGTTAAAGGTTTCTAAACTTTATTCTGAGTTCAGAGTTCATTATTGTATTTCATTAAATATAATTGATTTCTAAAACTGTTACTTTACCATCACTTTTGGGTTGAGAAGAAACTGCATTGACATTGCTTATTTTTCCAAAAGGCGAAAAAGTAGTATGTTTAAGCAACCAAAAAAAAAAAAGAGCCTTCTGAAACAGGAACTGAGTCAAGGAGAATTGTTAGATAGGAAAACATTAAAATTTCAGTCTTAGTCTGAGACTTCTTAAGTGTTGAATAATAAAAAAAGACTTAGTAATTGTGTTATATGTTCTCAGGGCGATTCCAGGCTGCTGATCGTTCAGAATTGATAAAGACCACAGAAAACATAGATGTGTCAATGGACATGAAGCCTTCCTGGACCACCAGAGATGTGGCACTTTCAGTGCACCGGGCTTTCAGGTGGCTGCTTTTGTTGGGCTTTTCTTAAAACAGATGTTAACTGGGTTCTGTAATTAAAAAAAAAAAAAAAAGTGTTGGCTGTTCAATACCATTAAAAATAGACAACTTAAAATGGTGGGTAGGTATATTTTTTAAACATCCCATCGGAGTTAATTGATCTTTCTATCAGTCTAAGTAAAAAGAAAAAGCTCATTTTTACTTTTCGTGAAATGTTGAATTCTATTCTTATATGTGGAGAGATGTAAAAAATATTTTAGCTTTATACTTAGCAATTTATGTATAATAATTAAACCCTTTTCCATTCAGGATGATTGGTCTCTTTTCTCATGGCTTCTTGGCTGGCTGTGCTGTGTGGAATATTGTTGTGATATATGTTCTAGCAGGAGAAGAGCTATCTAATTTCTCAAACCTTCTGCAACAATACAAGACCTTAGTATATCCATTCCAGAGTCTTCTCTACTTGCTTTTGTCTCTTAGTACAATTTCAGCTTTTGACAGGTAAGACTGTTGTGACTGTGGATTTCTAATTTTTCTTCAGGAGGAAATGTTGAGCAAAATGTGTCACCGACTACTGACAGCTTTCAAAATAGGATTATAAGATATTAATATTGCTTTGACATTTTAAGCCAGTCTGTTTCTGTTCTTTTTGGGGGTAATGGGACAACTGTGAACAAAATGTCTCCAAAAGCCTTAATTCATTAACTCGTATGTCCAAAATTTCATCCAAATATAATCAACTCAAAAAGTTCCAAATATCATCTTCTGAATTATCTAATCCAGGTACAGATGAGACTCTGCACATTGTATTAGTTTCCTAGGGCTGCTGTAACAAAGTACCAGATACTGGCTGGTTTAAAATAACAGAAACTTATTCTCTTACAGTTCTGCAGGCTAGCAGTCTGAAATCAAGGTTTTGCCAAGGTTGATTCCTTTTTGGAGGGCTCTGAGGGCAACTCTGTTTCATGCCTCTCCCCTCACTTGCAGTGGTTGCTAGCAATCCTTGGCATTCCTTGGCTCATAGATGCATCACTTCAATATCTGTCTCTGTCATCACATGGTGCTTTTCCCAGTGTGTCTCTATGTCTGTCTCTTCTTTTCTTATAATGACATCAGCCATTGTAATCTAATCCTAATGACCTTATCTTAACTTTATTACATCTGCAAAGACCTGTTTTCAAATAAGATCACATTGACAGGTACCAAGGGTTAGGAGTTCAGCAATCTTTTTGGGAACACAATTTCACCCATTAATAAACCCCTATTATAGCCTATTCATATGGGTAATAGAAAGAGTTAGAAGCTAGTGAAATTTTTCAGATCAAGTTTAATTTGCTTCTTCAGGATATTTTAACTCCAAAAGAATGTTGCCTAAAATAGTCTTCTAGTTAGCTGTTTTATGTGGCCTTTTAAACTAAGGCATTCTTTTGTGTGTAAGTATATAGTTTCTTAAAGCCTTGTAATGGACAATATATATAGTGTTAGAATAGAGAAGGAAAAAACTATAGTCAGTGAAGTTTTGTTAAGAAGTTTACAGTGACACTGTGACAAGAAGCTTTTGTATTTTCTAGGATTGACTTTGCTAAAACATCAATAGCAATTCGAAATTTTTTGGCCTTGGATCCAACAGCTTTAGCATCTTTCTGTGAGTAAATAGTTTAATTTGATAACTATGTAATACTTGAGTTATACTGTAATTTTGAACCAGGAAAAATATAATTTTATTTTTAAAAAGGTTTTATATTTTTGCTAATTATAAACATTACCTATGGGTGTTCAGTGAATTTGTAATTAAAAACATGGTGGGCATAATTTTGATAGAATTATTTTTCAATAGAGAATCATCTAAATAACTTTTAAAAGTTTAATTTTTTCTATATTATTTAATTTTTAGCTTTTGTATTTTTTACTTGACATTAAACAGATTCAGCTGGTATGGCCTTTTAGTAAAAAATGTTATATCTTTCTGATAACTTGGAATACATTTTGTTCTAAGTTATTGGAATATTAATCAAATTAGTTTTAGGAACTTGAGCAAGTCATTTAATTTCTTAAAAGATCTAGGTTCTTGTCAGTTTTAATGGTGAAATGGTGAGCATCTCAAAAAAATCCTTCTGCACCTGTTTTCTTTAAAAATAATATCTAGCCTATTGGAATTTATCAAATGAATTTCTTTTATATCATCATTCACCGAAGTACAGATTATTTTTTAGCTTAAAGTAATCTATTAACTCAAAATAAACTGGGTTGTTAAAAATTATTGGTAATTTCATTTGTCTTTTTCTTAGTGTACTTTACTGCTCTTATACTATCTCTGAGTCAGCAAATGGCAAGTGACAGAATCCACCTTTACACACCTTCTTCTGTTAATGGTAGTCTCTGGTAAGAGTTCACGATAAAATCAGCAATTATTACTGGTAATAACGGGAACAGTGAGAGTAATGGTACTTTTCTTATCCTTCTACTCTTTTTCATGTTTTTATCTCTACATAATAATGTAGGCCCTGTTTTTGTTTACAAAAATATGGCAAGAAAATACCTATTCTTTTGGTTAATGGATAACTACTGTTATATACACCTGCATTTTTAATGAAATGTCCTCTTTTTTAAAAATCTGTTTTAGATCTTTAAGTTACGGTTTTAAAATAAGTCGTCACATGATAGACCGGAAGAGCTGTTATCCCTAGTCAGGGAGCCTAATACCCCAGAACAGTGATGGGACTGGGTAGCCGGGATAGATTGAAAAAAACCAAGCAATGCTAGAAAGAGAGCAGAATGAGGAAGGCCAACATCTGCAGATCAGTGGCCAACCATGAGGCTGACAGGATGATGGGGATTCCAGTTCCTGGAACTCAGAAGGCCAGTCTTTTTTGAGAGAGTGACTAGGGGCATGAGACAAAGAGAGAAAGGAAAGCTACTTAATTGAAGAGTAGTGCCACGGTAGTTGAAACTTTCAGAAAATTATTGGGGGAACACTATCTTTCCATTTATACTAATGTACAGAGCTGATCTGTATAGAGTTTAAATAACGTTTGAACCCTTGTTCTCATGATATATATGGTGAATTTTGTAGGGAAATTATATTTTATTTTGATCTTATTTCTCTAGGACAGGACTGATTTTTTTTTTAAGTTCATAAAACAGATACATTTGGATATATGAACCAAAATGAAGACAGTTCTAATGAGTATTTCTATGTCTTTAGGGCAGCAGGAATTGAGGAACAGATTCTCCAGCCATGGATTGTGGTGAATCTGGTGGTGGCTCTTCTGGTTGGATTATCTTGGCTTTTTATGTCGTATAGGCCAGGCATGGATCTTAGTGAAGGTATTCTAGAAAAAATAGTATAAGAACATTCTGACATCTTCTATAATGATTTTATAAATCTTCTTTTAATGAGTATAGATTATAATATTCTAATAACAAAGACATTTAAAATAAAATGGTATGGGAAGAGTGAAAGTAAAGTTGTGTAATGGAATGCCAAGAGAAGTGGGAAGAGTGCCTAGGAGAGCTGGAGGCTGAATGTACTTAATGAGGGGCTTCTGTGTCCCTTGTGCATATTCAAGAGGTATTTCTTCTCTTGGAACCCTTTAAGTGTGATATATAGAAAGTCTTTGCTCTTCACTTCTCTTAGTCTCCTTCTGATGAAAGTACCTTTTAATTTCAAAAAAACCTTTTTTTGAAGGTTTATCTATGGTAGTCTAAAGACACATATTCAAGTGAATTATTCAAGTATTATTCAAGTATCCAAGTGAATACTTCCTCCTCTCCTTGTCACAAATTCTTTTTTATTTTTTATTTTGTCAATATACAATGTAGTTAGTTATTGTGTCCCATCACCAAAACCTCCCTCCCTCCTCCCTCTCCCCCCTCCCACCCAGATGTGTCCCCTCCATTTTCTTGTTGTAAGAGCTTCAAAAAAAAAAAAAAAAAAGTTGAGGTTGTTAAATCTTCCTCTCCACCCCACCCCCAGCTTTCTTTGTTGTTGTTGTTGTTGTTGCTGTTTGTTTGTTTTTGTGTGAGAGTGTGTGTGTGTGTGTGTGTGTG